GATCAAATGTGATAACTAGTGGTTATCTTAATTATTAGAATTAGGAAACTAGATCTATGTTATTTTCTGTTATGTAGTTCAGTTTTCTTCATAAATTAAATATCTCCAGAGTTTTCTTAAATATCTTGCATAATTTTCGATTTCTTCTCGAGTCAACAATTTTATACGCTTGTTTATGCTTTCTATTACCTCTCTGTATTCATTAGGTTTAAAGTTTATATATGATACATTCTTTGTTCTTGGTTTTTTATTTTTTTATTTTTTATTTTTTGTCGTTGGTTAATTAAGTTCAATCAAATACTAGTATTGTTTTATGTTCAACTAGGCGCTATATGAAAGAAGATGTAATTTATTTTACTTTTTACTTGTATTTTTTTTCCATATTTTGTTAATTGCTGGGTCTTTTTTGCCGAGACTACTTGATTCCTTATTTTACATGAAAGAACGGACTTCATGATTCATCCTTTGCCAGTTTATATAGTAATATTTTGCGAGCTAATTAATAATTTAAAATAACTAAATTGAATTCTGACGTAAAGTTGTGCATGACTGAAACATGCATGATTCAGATATAAACGTACGCAACGTTTTTTTTTTTTTTTTTTTTTAAATCTTTTGCTTGCTTCTGCACGACGTCTTCTAATAACAAATAATACATTGGATATATATGGATAAAAATTTAAAAAAAAAAAAAGAAAAAGAAAAACGTGCCGACAGCCAACGGGTACAAGAGGACAAAGGAAGAGGGATAGATCATAGACCATTGGTCCATCAAAATAGACTGCCATTAATGGAAAAGAGTAAGAACTCTTAATGACGAATGCGTAAATTGTAGTTTTAAGATGATGTTGTATTTCTGTCCTTTAAAAACATGCAGTGTTGTTTTCGTTTTACTATCGTTCTCTTTGGATTCGTGGATACGAAATATATTTGTGGTGTCTTTGGTATTTCCCGTTCATTATTTTCTATGGGTTCCAAGGAAGAATTGTATCTGTCATGTTCCAGATACTGAAATCGACCTCAAATTGTTTTGCCTACTGGAAAAAAAGTGATTGGGAAATGGAAACTACTTGCTGAACTGAAGATCTAACCTGTTAGGATTTTTTTTTTTTTTTTTTTTTGGCATGTATGGCAACAACTTTCAAGAAAATATTCAAAAAGCAATTTAGAAATCAATGGAGATAAAAGTTCAAATCGGATTTAGAATTATCAGAAAATAAGGGGAGATGAATTGGAAATATCATTTGGCTAAGCATTGAAGATTTGCTACAGCTGTTAAGGATTTGGAAAAGATTATTCTAATCTAAGTTTAGTTTGAAGAACAACTTAGATAAGAATTTGGATTTGTTTTTTCGAACTTCAAGGAATTGCAATTTCATTAGAGGATATTTTTTATGAAGATTTTGGAAGAAAAAATCAGATAAAAGTAATGATTTATTTTAAAAGTCAAAACAAGATATAATGTTGCAACAAAGTGTGGAACAAATTCTGCAACATTCAAATTTTGAGATTCTTATTCGACATTTGAGCAAGAATTTGATGGTGCTCTTAGGCCTCATTCAATTCGCAGATTCGAGTTTTTAATTCGAGTTGAGATGTGATTTTATATGAGAGCTTTTCACTATAGCAGAAAAATTATATGTAACTTTTTGTGAGAACTTTTAACTGTAGCAAAATTAAAATTAAAAAGTCAAATAGATAAAATGACACTACAAGAAAAAGGGGTTTTTGCAACGACAAAAAGTCGTCGCAAAAACCCCCATGTCGTCGCAAATACTTTTTTTATGACGACAAAGTGTCGTCGCAAATGTATTTGTGATGACATTTTTCTTTTGTGACGACGCGCGTCGCTAATACCCCGTTGCTTAATTTGTCGTGATATAACATTTTTTGCGACGACAATTTCAAAATATCGTCACAAATAATTACCCTTTTTTGCGACGACAAGTATAATAAAGTCGTTGCAAAAACTGAAGTAAATTTTTTTTTAAAATTTTTAAAAAAATGGCAATTAATTAATTTTTAATAATTTTAATTAAACATTATTATGTTACATACTGAATATAATTTATTAAGATACATTAACAGTAAAATATAAATTAATATTAAAAACAATAAATCTAAATAAATTTATAAAATATATTATGAATACTACATGAAGTGCATATATAATGTTCAACAAAATATAAAAGTTTAAATAAAGTGAAAAATCAAACATAACATATAACGGTACTATTCGTCTAGGTTTGCAGCATCGCCAACAGCTGAGTCATCATCAGGACTGTCATCATCTGAAGGAGGCAGAGGAGCGTCTAGGTTAATTGGTTATGGACGAGCAATCGTAGGTAATTGGATGTTGGGCTGCAATTTAGACACCAACTCTAACATCTTCACTGATTGTCATAAATCTTCATTTGTTCCCGGTATGATTTCTTTAGATAACGATCCATACGCAGGTCAGGTTGAGCCGATGATGTTGCGTCCGAGAATGAACCACCAGATGAAGGAGAAGCCCCGGAGTAATGCTTTTGGGAGAGCATCGGACCCACTCCTTTCTTATGTCCTCTACGCATGCCAAGAACTTGCTCCAAAACCCCATGCTCGTCAAGGGGGGGTCTAGTCGCGCTTAAAGTAGTCTGTGTTCTCTGCATTTGTCTCTCCTCCTCCAGAGTGTTCTACATAATAAGACATTATAATTTTTTGTACGTGTTATAAAACCACTATTTCAGTATAAAAAAATTTAATAAGAAAAGTAAAAATACTTACGAAAGT